CCCTTCCCCCCCCGCCACCCCCCTTCTGTCCTGTGCACATACCAGGTTTGTTAACCATCTTTTACTACTGGTAGAAATTACTCTCTGTGCTCCCAATATATTGCCAAGTCCCCTTTGCCCTTGAGGATTTTGCTCTTGTCAGGATGTGGCCCTTTTCAGCCACCCTGATTGCTCTGAATCACTATTTTTATTTTTTCAACCCCGATATGAGTCAGTTTGCTTGATATAAATGACACTGTTACCATTTCATTTTGAAAGGGGATATCCATTTGCCAGCTGACTTCAGTGCTGGTTTCTGCATTTGAAGTATCCAAACCCCGTTCTTTTAAAATGACTACAACTTTGTGACTAACCTTTCCAGACTGGATTTCTCAACTGTGGGCCGGCGTTTATTTTGGCTGCTTTCCCACTGTATAATATATACTGTTCATGCCAGCTCATGGCAAAACTCGTAATTAAAAAACAAAGTAGCAGTGCAGATGTTCATCAAACTTCTGCACATTCTACCTCCCCGGCACCATCCACTCTTTTCCTTGTTCCCCTTTCCCCTCTTATTTTATTACCAACCTAAACATACAATATTTGCTTTTTTAAAAAGCATTGGATGGTGAAACTTTCCATTCCTTGGCATGTTGTGGGAGTGGCTGTCATGAAACGGTAAGCAGACATGCTTAGTGGGTTGCCTTGCATGCTAGAAGTTCAATATTACCATTGCAAGAAAATCCAGCTGGCTACAGTCCCATTCCCAAATCTTTTTGGGCCCTATTTCCCTGTCACTTACCCAAGCGTAACTCCACTGACTCCAGTGGAGGTGCTCCTGATTTACACTGGTGGAAGGAAGAGGAAAATCAGACCCTTTGTCTAGAAAGGAAATTCTGAAAACTTGCAGTTACTGCATTTACAACTTCACTGAACATTTTAAGCCCTTCATGAATTTCTTATGCTTCCTTTGAAGCTCTCACCAAAGGGAATTAGTGAATATTCTTTGATTCAGTTATTCATTTGGTTTGTCTGACACCCAGAATACACACAGCATATTACGTGCATTTGAAATAAATGTATCTAATGGTTTTTTTTTTCTTTTTTTTCACTCTCACTGCTTCCTGAAAAGGGGAACAACAGAGTAAGTTCTTTGTCCTGTTACAAATCCCTTCCTACTGCTTCCCAAGGGTTTTCTTTGTAAACCAAGAGTTTCTGTTCTGGTTCACACAACTGTTGCTGCATGTTGGACTGTTTAGAGCAAAGTAGCATTACAAAGTTTGATGCACAAAACTATTTTCTACAGTGCTATAATGGCTCTTTGTTTTAGCTCTGGGAAGGAGAATAATGTTTAGAGTTGTTCAGTGCTGGTTTATAAGGCAATTTAGGAAGAATGATATTATAAAGAAATAAAATGGTATTGGGAACAAAGATTATGAAGGTATAGTAATAAAGACCTTCTGAGTAAAAAAGGTTACTACAGTCTGATGAAACTCATTACAGCTGGATTTTTTGACCATACATCAAAGCTTGTATTAATGGGCAGTTATAAAAACCCAGCACTGAAGTCTTAAATAACAGATTTGCTGGCGTTGTTGGCTAAGCTGAACTAGATCAGTGTACTGGCTTTGAAGGTGCCTTAAATGGATGGTGGAGGGTGGGGTCAACATTTGAC